GGAGAAGTTCACCAAGGTATATCCTTATTGAATTCACAAATGTCCAGGAAAAACAAAACAGAATTTTAAAGGCGTCCAGTGAAAAGTGAAGAAACATGCACCAAGAAAATTCAACTATAATCATAGCAGACTTCTCAGTACAAATTCTGATGACCAGAAAAACTCGTAGTGAAGTATTTCAAGTTCCAAAATCAAATAACTTCCAACCCAGATTAATTTACCAAGCAAAAATATCCTTAAAAATAGAAGAATAAGGTCTTTCCATGAAAAAGCTTAACTTAGATGACATTTGAGTGCTAACCCATCTCTGGAGATAGTATTCCAGAATATTCTTGACAGACACAAGAAATTGGACACAATTAAAGACACACACGAGACCAATGATGTCAATGGATAAACAGAAGCAAAAGTACCAGGAAAAGCAAAACAAAAGGCACATCAACAGGTAAAGAAAGAAATAGTAGTAAATATCCAAGACAAATCAGCAATATCTCTCAATGTTAATGGCTTCAGTTCTCCAATTGAAAGACACAGACGAAACTGAATCAAAAAATAGAATCCTAAAGTCTCTTGACCTAGGAAATACTTTTAATCCCAAAAATATTAATATAAAATTAAAGGACTGTCAACATTTCATGCACGAGGATGCCCAAAATAAGCAGGGGTAGCAATTCTAAAATTTTAGGTGACAATTATTTTATCTCAGCAACAAAAGAAAAGTAACCAAGACTCTTGGAAATAATTTTAATGAGCACTTTAGAAATGTGTTTCCATAGGTTGGCTGAGAAGCAATTTATATAGTTTAGCATACTGATCTCTTAATGAATTTCATCTGAAAGTTGTTTATTATCTATTTCATTGATTATAGTAAATAATAAATACATACTTTTAAGATAAAGTATATTAATATATTAATAAAAAGACTCTCTTTTTTGTGTTTAAAGTATAAGAACTGTTATTATGTACATAGCAAATCTTGTTACATTTATTTTTATTGCTTATTGATACAAATGGAAATATTTAATTATCATATTTATGCCATTATTAAGATCAATTAGTAAGGAATACTGACATTGAACATGCAAGCTAATACCTGACTGTGGATATTTTATCCTCAAATAATAAGTACCACTTGTATTTAAGATTCCTGGGGAGGCATAATGGGGTGACTGGAAGCAGCTTTTCTCTCAATACCACCAAGATTTCATAAGGAGCTACTCATTCATTTGGAGAAAAAGAGAGATTTTTCTCCTCACTTCAACTCATCAAATTTCCTTCCAATTCTGGAATTCAGTTAATTTCTAATGTTTTCTCTCATAAACAATAAAATCAAGAAATGAGAAGCCTTCTATTAATTGTGATTTAACACTTTTTAGTTAATTTTGACTTCAAGACATGTTGAATAATGTCTGTATTTTCTCAAATTTGTCTGAATATGGTTTCTACTTTTTATATAGCATTTTAAAATCTATAAAAAACTTACCAGAAGTGATGGGGATATAGATCATCAGCAAGAGTGCATAAATGCCTGCCTGGAAACCACAAGGTCCTGAATTTGAACCCTAGCACCCCTAAAAAATATTACCAGAAGATAATAGCCTTAGATGTATAACTTACTATGTTTAGCTCTTCACTTGGTATATGACACATTTTTTTCAACAAATAACACACTGCATATATTCTTCTTAGTGGTTAATTGCTGTACAAGATGCGGACTTGAGATCCTATTCACAAACATCATTAGAACAAATCATTCTATTCATTAAGAGAATGCAACTATATATCTATCCTAACCACTTTGAATGCATAGATACAAAATGGACATTCATCAGTATACCCCATTTTTTCTAAGTTCCGTTATTGAATATTATAGGTGTGTAAACTCAGCAAAATATTCTAAAAGAGTTCAGTAGCCCATAATAGCATTGGGTCTTCTTTTTAACTGGCAATGTCAGAAGTTATTGACCTGAGTCCCCCACAGCTCAACATAACAACATGGCTTTACTTCCTATATTTCGTCTTCATACTTTTCTACTGGATGGTTAAGACCAAGGTAAAGCAGGACCTGTGCATCAAGAGTTGTAGCTTTTTGGTCTGAGAAGGTCAGTGAAATCCCCTCAGGATTTATCATGAGATCCTGTACCTCAGATTGTAGAACCTTTGTCAGTATCATCCATGTGAATGAGTCACGGCCATTGGTTGGCCAATGTGCTCTCTGTGAAAGCCTGAGAGACTGTTTTCTCCCCATGTGACTCTCCTTAGGCACACTCTACGGATAAGGATTTTTTTTTGCTCCGAATGCCCTCAGGGGTGGTTTGGCTGGCTGGAGTGTTTTGGGGATCGAACTACAGCAACCTGAGGCTGACAGCTTTGTGGAAACAGCCACTTAAAGTACTGAGCTAGGGCCTGGCCCCCTATGACACATTTTTAATGAGCACTTAATGTAAGTTTTAAGCAGAGGTAATGACATTACTTCTTATATTTTGTTTTTATACTTTTCTACTTATCAGACCCAAAAGTTACAACTCTTGTTGCATAGGTCCCGCTTTACCTTGACCAGTGAAATCCCCTCAGGATTTATCCTGAGATCCTGTACCTCAGATTGTTTGTCAGTGTCAGCCATGTGGATGAGTCATGTCCATTGCTTGGCCAATATACTCTCTGTGAAAGCCTGAGATAATGTTTTCTTTCCATGTGACTCTCTTTAGGCACACTCTACATCATCGATCACTTTCCTCTTTGGCTCCATAATCTCCTTGATCTGCAAATTTTGGACACTGCCAAGTTACATGATGTTACAGTACAAGTTCTCATATATCTTGAGTCTTAACTGACCTTGAAAGGCTGGGGCCAAAATGTTGGCTTTCCTTGCAGCCCTTCTTTTCATCTAATTTTGGTCTGCAAACTTAGGTTGTTAACCATCCAGAAGACAAGCTTATTGTTATTACCATACAACCTAGGCTGTCAAGCTTAACCTCACTATCTGTCTGCATATCAAGCATCTTAGGCATAATATAGAACAGGTATTTTTCATCAAGTATTGATATGTTGAACTTTAAGTCCCTACAGAATATGATAAAAATTTTTAAAAATTTAAATATATTTTAAAAATAGGCATAAAGAATTATATACTTCTTATGTTTACACATAAGTCCAAAAATCTCACCATATACAACCTTGAAGCAGGACAATCCCAAGTCAACAACTCCTGACATTGCCAGTCCTACAGATAACTCACTACTATTATGAACTACTGGACTATATTGGATTATTTTTCTGAATTCATGCACCTACAATATTTAATTGGCAATGGAATACCCATCTCTGACAAAACTAAACAAAAAAGGGATAGAAGTGAAGGACCATTTTGTATCTATATATACAAAATAGTTAGGAGAGATATACAGCTACTTTCTTTTAATTCAGTGAGAAGAAAGATTTGTACTAATAGTTTCTCGACAGGAAATTATGCAATATATTAATTATTGAAGGTGTCCCATTAATTGGTTTTGAAACTGTCTCATTGCTATGTTTCTCAATAAAATTAATAAAACATAAAAAAGAAGAGGTAGTGAGGACAGATTATATTTATCATTCAATTGCCTGTGTCTTAAAAAATACAAAATTGTGTCCTTTAGCACTCATTGGTTTTACCACTGAGATTACTGAGCGGGAATTTTACCCATGATCACTCTGGAGAGAGGAGCTCTCTTCTGAATGTTGTACACTTCTGTCATAGCCAGCAGCTCACACAATCTGCAAGACATTCCTGTCCCCTGGAAAAGAGCTGAGTTCAAGATTCAGATTGTTTCTGAAAGACTTTGTTTCCCTGTGCCCAACAAGAGACAAACCATAGTACTCTTCCCATTAAGTGTGTAAAAGTATTAATTCTTAAGGCACAAATTGAAGGATGTAATACTTGGTTATAAGTGATTATGTGTTGGAATAGTGTAATATTTTTACTCTATTAGTAAATAGATTTTTGTGCATCCCATTGGAAAGTGTGTAGAGAGAGACTCAAAATGGACAAATGTATGAAGACACATTTGGGTAAACAAACATAGTTGTTGGAACAACAGCAAAACATATGCCTGAAATCAAATTGAAAAAATTCAGATATTGTTAAACTTGTTAAGCTGAAAAATCTGTGAATGTGGCTGACTTAAAGTAGTACAAATATTGCTGATATAATCAGCAAAATACCCATTTCTGCAGCTTTAACAACCTTTCTACTTCACTTTTATAAAACATGAGAATATCAGACAATCGATTTTTTGATTTTTTTTCTACTACTTCTTCTGATAACTACTAATGTTGATTTCCAAAGGACTGAAGTATTTCAACTCTTAGCTTGCCTCCTCGATGAAAGCGAAGTGACCCTCAACACTAGAGATTCAAAATAGACTGCTAGGACTTTTTTCATGAACTTTTTCCTTTAGAAGCATAGACAGTTATTTCAGTTAATTAATGCAAAAGGAAGAAATTTCACTGATACATGCAGTAGAAAAAGGACCAGACATGGTATGTAAATTATCAAACTCTTAAAAGATTGATGGATGCACATTTAAACTTTTTAAGCAGCTTATTAGTTCTGCTGGGAATAAGTTGATATTAACTCTCAAGTCATGGCCACAGTAGCAGGCAGATAAGATGTAAAATAAATTACTTGCATTTTATTGAAACAACACAAATTTAATATAGTGTTTCATTTTCCATTTCTTGTCTGACAGGCTGAGTCCATCAATAAGCATTTATCTCTTGCCTGCATTTAAAATTTCTCTAGATGAACATAAAGCAATTGGACAGCATCATTTTCACTCGCACTAATTGCACACAAACTGAGTTAGTTTTTGCACATGAAATGATACATAAAAAGTTTCAGCAATATGGCACAAAATGCATATGTAATTACAATCCTGACAATTTTGGAAGTGGTTAAATAAAGAGATTATTCCAGAGATGAAGATCTTTCGTCACATATAGACAGTGCATGTAGTATGTTACATTTGCTCTGCTCGCCGATTGCACAATGATATAAGGAGCCTCTTCATTGCCCCTTTCATGTCCTTATTCCTCAAAGTGTAGATAAAAGGGTTAAGCATGGGAGTCACCAAACTGTAGAACAGGGACATGATTTTGTCTTTGTCCTGGGAGTTAGTGGCAGAGGGCTGCACATACATGCTGATTACTGGCCCATAGAAGAGAGATACAACCATAACATGGGAACCACATGTGTTAAAGGCCTTCTTCTTTCCCTCTGAGGACTTAATCCTAAGCACAGAAGCTATAATGAATGCATAGGAAACAAAGATAAATGACAAAGGAACCAAGGAATAGAATATTCCAACGATGGAAAGCATAGTCATATTGAATGTAATGTCCACACAAGACATCTTGATCATCACAGGGACTTCACATAGAAAGTTGTCCACCTTGTTGTTACCACAGAGTGGCAGCTGGACGGTGAGGGATGACTGCAACAAGGAGTTAGCCAAGCCACTGAACCATGTGATGCTCACTAGGAGGACACAGAAGTGCTGACACATGATGGTAGGGTACCTCAGGGGCTTGCAGATGGCAATGTAACGATCCACAGACATCACAGCTAGAAGGATGCACTCTGTGGCCCCCAGAAAGTGAAACAGGTAAAACTGGGTCACACAGCCACCATAGCTGATGGATTTGTCTGGACCCCATAGGTTCAGCAGGAGCTGAGGGATAGTAGTGGTGATGAAACACAGGTCCAAGAAAGAGAGGTTGGAAAGGAAGAAATACATGGGACTGTGTAGGTGAGGGTCTACCCTACACACCATGATAATGGAGATGTTGCCCACAAGTGTGCAGATATAAGCAACAAGTACCACAGTGAAGAGAGGCATTTCCAACCAAGGGTAGCTAGAGAAACCCAGGAGAATGAAGACTTTTGGAGCACTAGCATTGCCCAGAGTCATGACTGATGTCACGTCTTTTGGAAAATTCAAGTTTTGAATGCAGGAAATAAATTTTAATATTGACTTTTTCTGATGGTCAACCTATCCAGTTAAATAAAATAAAGTTAAAAAGATATTTTCACGTGATGCAACTTTAACAAAGTTATTTGATATTTGCAAGTATAAAATATAGCAGTCTAAGAAATATTATTTTTGTAGTGCCTCTAAAAGAAAGACTAATATATCTCCATATTTTCCCAATAGACGCAAACATAGCAACTTTTTACAGAATAATGAGCACATAAAGAGAAATTCACAGATGATCTTACATTAAAAATAAAATTAATGAATTAATAATCCTACCAATCCCCAAGAAATACCCATTCTAATTTGCCACAGATGTCTGTGTCATCCATCTGTGGTCTGGCCCTCATCACGTTCTTGGAGGTGATGAGTTGTTTTAGGTGAGTTTGTAACTCTGTGAACTCCCTCTGTATTGGTCTGATTTGCAAAACATAGTCATGTATTGCTACTCCTTGGATCTATTCCACAAGCTTTAGACTGTCATTTGCCAACTTGAAGTGGTGTTTTAAAATGAAAACATAGCCAGTACAAAAAAAGAAAGAAAGAAATAGAAAGAAAGAAAGAAAGAAAGAAAGAAAGAAAGAAAGGAAGGAAGGAAGGAAGGAAGAAAGAAAGAAAGAAAGAAAGAAAGAAGGGAAAAAAGGAGGGAAGGAAGGACAAATAAAAGAAACATACAAGTGAAAAGAAATGGTCATTTAAATATGTGGTGAGAAATGTGAAAAAGAAGACATAGAGGTACTGATTGTAAAGCAAAGAGATAAAGGGCCATTAAAGGCATCAGTTCTTATCAGCATGCTATGACATATATCTATAATTTCCATATTGTGAGTTGTAGTATGCCTTTGTTAGTTGTATTTTTATAAATTCATTTTATGTTCATTAAAAGTGTGAGTATATGTGTATTTGTGTGATTTGAGTTAAGTAATAGTAAATTCTGAAGGGAAAAAAAAACCGCCTCTGAAAAACACAGGTTTGAAATCAGAAAACCAGACCCATCCCAGGGAAGTGATTATATGTATGTTTTGGAGGTGCAGCCACAATTTGCAGAAGTTTTCTTGTTGATCTTGCTGTGTCTGCTAATTATGCAAAGGATATGACCACATTCTGTCAAGAACAACACTTCATGCTGGGCTGTGTATGTCCATAAAATTCATTGTTGTGTTTGATAGCGAGTCTATGTCTGCTGTCTCAGAAGGATTATATATTCTTCCCTTCCATTTCTTTGAATTACGCAAAAACTTGCTTGATTCTGATAATGCCTTTAGGACATTTTATGGCAGCATCCATTTATTTAATATTAATGCCCACTAGTAAAACAGGACAGAATATCTACACCATATCTCAATGTAATAAATTGTTTTGAAGAAATGCTAATGTATTTACATTACACATTTTCTAATATGCAATTTTGAATAAAGAGGTCATAACACCCAAGAACTTTTGCAAAGATTAAATCAATTAGATCATTCCCATCCACATGAGACACTTACCTTAAACCAATGTTAAGTTGGCGTGTTCAGAATTTTACTACTCTAGGAGGCTGAGGCACAATAACTACAAAATTGAGACCAGTCTGGGCAATGCAGTGCCTTATAAAGATCCTGTCTCAAAATTAAAAAAACCCAGAGACAAACAACTGGAAAGAAATGCCAAGCTGTCATTCATTGAATAGTCCCTGAGTTGAATTCCCAACACGTAGAAAAAATAAATTAATGTTGATATTGATTGAAAAGTGATATCTGCTTTTCTTTCAAAAAATTTAGTATTTTCTTTTTATCAGATTTCAGTGTTACTTGACAATAGGGATTGAAACCCTCCCTGCATTCCAAATTTTATGGTATAGAATATACAGATACTTAAAAGTTATTGGTTTATTTTATTGAAAGGATCCTAAAATAGATCTAGAAACCTATTTTACTTTAAACTAATAGTTAAATAAGCTCTTTGCTCTTTTATAAAGCTGGAGGAATTTATCCTTAAAGAGATCATGAATCTCAATGGACATTTCTTGGCAAGAAACACTATAGAAGTTCCCTGTGGGCATATTTCCCTCTAATGTGCTTCTTCAATAAAATGAAATAAAAATTGGCACTTGGTGTAGAGAATACATTTAGGACTAAAATTTCTTAGAAAATTCATTACTGTGTGAAATTTCTCTTAGATAACTATAGAAAAATTAAGACAATTATTTTTGTGTCAAGATCCAATTTCTTTATATTTTACTCAGGATATTTTTCTTGCTATTTCTGCTATATGAGAGGTGAAAAACAATAATTATACATAGAAATGGATGAGGTTATCACCTTGATTTTTATAGAAGTTAGAAACTGTTGCATTGACAAATTTTTCTATAAGTAATAATTTTTGTCCTGACTAAATTAAAAAGTTAAACTTGAGTTTAACATTTATTTTTTAGTCCTTTGTTTCTTCAATTTTAGAGACCTAACCCAATCCTCACGCAGCCTAGGGAATTGCTCTATTGCTGTACCATCACATCAAGTGGGGTTAAAAAAAATCAATAATATTGGATAGTCATTGCTTTTTTAAAAAAACAATCCCTGGTACCACAAAAAATAAAAGCAAAAAAAAAAAAAAAAAAAAAAAAAAAAAAAAAAAAAAAAAAAAAAACCAACCTCCCCCAAAACATACAACAATACATATGGTACATATTTTCTAAACAAGAATAGCATATTAACAATGGTTATATTACATATTTTTGTCATCAAATCTGTTGCTCAAATTAACAGATGTAGATTTGGAAGGTTGGATAAATAATTGAATATCAATGCTTATTTTCAATAAACCTTAATCACTTTTTCTTGACCTTTTTAACTTATTAGTTTTTTATTTATTTTAAAGAGATAATAATAATTGCTAAGACATTAGAAATGGTACATATTTAGAAAAATAAGATGAGAGGTATTTAACCATGGTTCTTGTATTACATATTACTTTCTTTGATATAGGCGCTCAGATTGCAGATATTAGCATATAGTGTTAGTCAAAAGTGAAAATTTTAGACATTAATTGCTATTTTCAAAACACTTAATGAAATTAGTAATACAATAATCTCAGCTGTCCTTTAAATATACTTGCATGATTTTCCCCTTTCCTTTGTTTTTCCTATCTTTGTTCTTTTTCCTTATCTTTGTTTTTTACTCCTTATATTCAGTTTCTTTCTGTTTTACTATATCTGTTATACTTTTCAGAAAACACATTTTATTCTGAGCAAGCTTAGCTGTCACAAATTGTGTTGTTTTTCCATAATTTTATTGAGAAACAAATAGCAATGAGACAGTTTCAAACTAAATTAGTAGGGCAGTTTGAATAATTAACACATTGCAAACATTCTTCCTAGTGGCTAATTGCTATACAAGATGTGGACATGATATCCTATTTACAAACACCATTAGAACAAATCCCTCTATTCATTAAGAGAATGTAACTATATATCTATCCTAACCATTTTGAA